CTGAGTGCAAGCTAGTTGGCGGACAAACGGACAGACGGACGAACGAACGAACGGACGGGTGGGTGACTATATTGATTGTGTAGCTGGCTGACAGCGACAGTGACATATGTCACCGAGGCTTCTCGTTATCGCTGATTTAAACATGAGGCAACGAGGCCCTTGCCGAGTTGTCTACGCTGCACCAGCTTCGTATTTCTACCTACGTCTCCATCCCTCTCTCCCTCCGTCGACCAGCCCGCCCAAGCCTTGTTATTATTATTGCCGCACATATTTTTTCCCTCTCTCTTTTTTTCTTGCTCCCTCTCCTCTCTTCCACCAATGTGTTGACTGTCACACTGTCGGAAACCCGACGACGCGACCTGTTTGATCATGGCGCGCCGGTGAAACGCCATGTCAGAAATAATTACGAGCTGATCGCGCGCACCCATGTTATTGTTGCTTGAACGTTCGTTGCTGTTATTATCGTTCCGGCAACCTATGATATTCCGTCGAATAATCTTGTCTGTTACAGGGTACACACCGGATGCTGTTACATGTATTGTTCAGGTGACGCGAGGTGAAAAAATTTCGGTGTTCGTTGTTGGAGGAAGAGGTTTCGAAGAATGGCTCGTTTCGAGATCGGTACGTAATGCCGGGTTCACGCTGGTGTTCGCGAACTGATCGCGAAACATGTTCGCTGGCAGCGTGGATACTTTCGGGAGCAGCTTGGAGTAAACTTGTTAGCGAACAGTCTGAGAGCAGATTACGAACAGTTCTGGCTGGTGTGGAACCGGCATAATGTCGCGACCACACTTTCCAGAATTGCTCGCGAGCAGCTTGCAGGAAACTCATTGGCGAACAGTGTATTAGCAAATTACCAACTGTCCACGAACAGTTCTGGCTGGTGTGGAACCGGCATAATGTCGCGACCACACTTTCCAGAATTGCTCGCGAGCAGCTTGCAGGAAACTCATTGGCGAACAGTGTATTAGCAAATTACCAACTGTCCACGAACAGTTCTGGCTGGTGTGGAACCGGCATAATGTCGCGACCACACTTTCCAGAATTGCTCGCGAGCAGCTTGCAGGAAACTCATTGGCGAACAGTGTATTAGCAAATTACCAACTGTCCACGAACAGTTCTGGCCAGCGTGAAACCGGCATAAAGCCGCGATCACACTTTCCAGAATTGCTCGCGAGCAGCTTGCAAGAAACTCATTAACGAATAGTCTATTAGCAGAATACGAACTGTTGGCGATCAATTCTGGCAAGTGTGGGCCCGGTATAATGCCGCGACCACACTTTCCAGAACAGCCCGCGGGCAGCCCGCGGGCGGCTCGCGGGCAGAACAACAAGCAGCATACAGAGTTGCTCGCAATCTGTTCGCGGCGATCAGCAGTGTGAACGTGGCATAAGAAACAAGGGGTATGAAATAAGGAGGGGCGGGGATAGGGTGAGAAAGAAGACTGCTATGATTTATTACGGGCCGCAAATTCTGTTTCTCCTCCGTACACGCCAATTGCGTTTGCGTTCATCCATCTTTTTCCCTTTCATGGCTCACCGAGCAACTTTTCCTCACGTTTCCCCCCGCCGTACACCGCCGAACCCCTCACCCAGCCTTTTTATTCCGCACCATCTCTCAAAGTGACTGACTGCCTCCTTTATTATCCGCTTGTCAGCATTTTTGCACTTTTAGCCAGTGTTCTAGTATCTATTGTCCCGAAACGAATTCGTACGGTCACAATACGTCACCGACGAACGATTATCCCGCATTACCAAGTTATTGTTGATTCCCGTTCAATATGCCAGCGATGTTTGCAAACCTATTCAGGTTTATTCGAGCTCAGTATCTAACTCGAATTGACGCGTGTTGTAAGTCGACAAATTCTAAAACAGCTGCCGTTTCTAGGCAAATACACTTCAATAGAGCACGGTCACGTTAATTTTCCCAGGCGAAAATTCAAATTTACCCGCGAAATTTCTTTTTTTTTTTCACGATCGTTTATATATTCGAATTTTACACGGAATCTTTCTTCAGGTGTTTTTTTTTTCTTTCTTTCCTTCGTTATTACCTACCACTTCCTGGATCTATCAGCATATTTTCACATTTTACTCCTTCTAAGGTTATGAATTATTGCCATAATTGCCTGTTTACGATTTATTGTCGTTTGTTGAAATTTTCCAATGCAGTTTGTAAAAAGTTTTACAGTGGGCCAGCTATGGTTCCTTCATCCCTGTTATGACCAGGGATGAGTACGTAACCATTGTCCTAATCCAGGCTGACAATGCCCCTCGAAATCTTATTATTCAGGTGCAGTAAATACGACGGGCCCCGTTTTCTGTTCGCAGCGGAGGCGTTCCTACTACCTATTCTTTGCAAATTTTCAACGTTAATACCTTACCAATTCGCGCAAATGTAAATTCTCCGGCAATGTAACCGGCAAAATTACTTATGTATACTTTCTATGATAAATTTATTTCAAATGCGCCTTTGAAAATCACTGTCTCCGGCAAATGCTTGAAATGGTATCATTCGAAGGTCGTTCTTTTAACGAATATTTAAAAATTTCACAGATAATAAATTACCAATGGAAATTTTGCAATCGTATAATTTATACTAACGTCGAAGAAATGTTTAGCTTGGAAAATTTTCGTTACGATAATATATATATATATATTGATTTGATCAATTAAAATAATGTTTCAATTAAACAGCGCGCACACTTAGAAATTGCGTTGTTTCTTGATAAACGTTATTTATGTCACTACGTCCATCGATAACACGTCAAAGCTGAATCTTTATCCATCTGGTAACTGTCGTTCTGAAATCTCCAAAACCCAGGCTGAAGGGGCGGCGAAGATGAAAGAGAACTATATTAGCCGTAAACTCATCCGTCAGCGTCAAAACGTCAAAGACTTGCCATTGGGGTATTAACGGCGCCATAACTTCCCAGAAACGGAACAGAAGAAGGGAAGAGAAGGAGGGGGAACAGAAGCGAGAGAGAGAGAGAGAGAGAGAGAGAGAGAGAGAGAGAAAGACAAAGATAGATATTCGATGGAAGTAAAACTCGCAGAGAGCTTTATTTCTTCTGGGAAATATTACACGATAGAAAGATTTAATATTACATTGTCTCCGACTGTTTTGGTTGAAAATGAAAATTCAAGCGAGTCAGACAATCACTTTTATAGAAGGATTTCACCACGTCACGTACCATTACTCGAGAAAATCTTCTTTGTTCCCTGTAATCTTCCTGTGTATATGTGTAATTAAATAGAACGTAGTATTATCTTCAAATAATAACAATAATCATTATTATCGACGTTCTTATTTTTTGTTTTTCTTGCAATTAACAAGAACCGAGTTTTCAAATGGGTCTTGGAATTGAAATGGTACAAGCGTGTTGCAATTGAACGTATCGTTTCGAAACTCTTAAGAACAGTATGAATTTCAATTTAAACGACAACTAACACAGTTGTACACATTTCTTAGATACTATTCGGTTGCATTCCAATGCAAAGTGTTTCTCGAGCTAATTATTGCTTACCGCGGGTATGCGCTTTATGTAGCCGGCGTGTGGATATTGTCATAATTCGTTGTAATTACCTTGTAACATAACTACTTCATCGATTGCTTTATCTTACTTTAAAGTTGTACCGAGCGAAACAGCCAGTCTCCTAACCGACCGCGGAACGTTTGAGAGTTTCAACGCAGCTGGTATTGGAAGGTTTTTTTTAATGGCCACATTTGGCGGCTGCAGCCAGTCACGATGCGTATAGCTTTTAATGCAGAAACGTTCCGCGAGCGCATGCTTGTTCCCGAAGGCTTTGCACCAATACTTTTCGCAATCATTACGAAAGCAGTTTCTAAGAGAGGTGAAAACGCAATTTTTTCTTTTTTTTTTTTTCTCCTTTTTCTCCTCGATCAACATACTATATTGATTATTACGATAAGCCGCAACAAGCAGCCCCACAGCTAGCCAAAGTGGAAATCAAAATGCATCGTATTGCATTTGAAAGGTTATTTATAGCTAACGCTATTATCGAAAACGTAGGCAATGTTTGTTCAAGAGTAATGTCAGCTCGACCACGGGTATTTGTTCGATAAATCCAAAGAGAGAGAGAGAGAGAGAGAGAAGAAAGAGAGAGAGAGAGAAGAGAGAGAGAGAGAGAGCCGACTCCTTGGAGAATACACGTTCCATTACGGGTTAATTGGTGTTATCTTAGCGCGGAAGTCAGAGACGAAATCGGTAGCTCGGATCGTTTAGTATCCGGTGAGTCAGTGCGCGACAAAGTCGAGGTGCGGTCGGGACGATAATTAAAACACTTTTACAAAACTGTAGGCAAACAGCGCTTAAGTGGCTGTCATTCGTTACCCTGTGGGCTGTGGCAAGTCGGTAAGTCGCTGAGCGAGCAATCAATCACCCGACATTCCCTTCCCCACCGACCCATTACATTTCTATTTTGAAAGCTGCTTATTAAGCGGGGCCGGTTGGAGAGACAGACAGGTTTCACGGTATAAAATATCGGGTTGCAGTGGTGGCAGGGACGGTTCCGTGTCGAGGTAGCTATGGTTGGCAAACGGGTTGGGGTGCGGAGAGTAAGGGAGGGGAGGGGGACAAGGGAAAAGGGGGCAGGGTGAGGGGAAGGGGATGGACGGCTGTAAAAGCGGTGAAATATCAAAGCCGGGATGGGAGCTGTCATCGTCGGGCCAACATCATGGGTGGCGTGTTGAATTAGAATGCCTTCCCACACCCCACACAGGGCCAAACCCCACCGCAATTCTCCCACCATAATCCTCCTGTGTCAGGAGTGGTGGGGATGACAGGAGAGGACAGGTTATACACCCTGACTTGCCGGAGAAGGAGGGGAAGAGAGCGTGTCGTGTCGCCAGGTGGCGTTGCGGTCGCATTCCACTTCGTGCACCGAACAGCTCCGTCGAGAGCTGCCACTATTTTCCTGGATTTCACTTGGTGTACGTCGTTTGCGTTTAATCGTTTCGTACTGAGAGAAGGATCGATCGACCCGACGCGTAGACCGAGATTGTGCCCCGGAGTATTCAAAACGTTTACGTTCCACGTATCAGTTTGTTTCTTTTCTTGTGATTTGTGCAAATACAACAGGAGTTTTGTGCAGTGATAGGCTTAACAAAAGCAAAACCAAATGGTTGTCCTCGAGGAAGGCGGTATGCTGACTACTGGACACAATCAATATCTACAACCGGATTATCTTTCTCCGCTTCCAACCACGGTTAGTATACGCTTCAAAAAAATCCTATTCGCCTTGCAAAATTTCCTTTTTTTCCTACTCTATCGTTCTATCGTACTATGTTACGGGCGTATTTTCGAAACGAAGTATTTTGATTGTGCGTGTTAATCGTTAGTTTTTTTTTGTCGAACGTTGTAAAAAGAAACTAGAAATAACCGGATAATTTCGAGGCGGAGTGTTGTTACGCCCGTTTGTCGTTCTCCGACGGTACGCGTCGTCCGACGGGTTGCTGTATACTCACTCGTGTGCAACTTTTTACCGTGTATTCGATCAAACATATGCACACAACACGCGTTGTTACATGTTGAAGTGTTTTCGTAACGAGTTTCTCTACTTTATTTTACAGTTGGATGCGAAGAAGAGTCCATTAGCTTTATTGGCACAAACATGCAGTCAAATCGGTGCCGATTCACCAACAAAACCTTTGATTTCCCCACTGGATAAAACCCCGAAAGGCATGAATAACGGTACAAACGCAAAGTCTCCTCCAGCTGCAAAATTGGAACGGAGCACACGCAGCAGCCCGTCGGACGGGAAATCATTGGCGTTCAAGCCTTACGAAACCAACGTTGTCTCGAAGAAATCTACCGACGAGGGTAGGCCAGCGTCCAAAGCGAGTGTTCACAGTGTTAGTGGTCAAGATAATGTGAGTGTAAGTGATCAGGTGGAGAAAAAATCGTCGGGAAATCGTACGCCCGTCGGACGCAAATCAGCGTCTCCAGCTAGCCAAGC